GGGGATCATTCACAATTTATCACAATCGTTTTGTATTCACTTATTGTAGCGATATCTTTTCTTGCGGGATTAGGCGCGATGTTCGTCACCACCTTCAGCCAGGGTAACAGTGCGGTGTTGTTCCAAGAGTTACGCTGACAACACCGAGTGTAGCATTTGCCTCAGCATCCACAAGCCGGACATGACAGCTGTGGGATCGCTGTGATGCACGTAGTAATCTCAGGTTGACAACACCAGCCAACGTTTGTGTCGATGCTCAGAGCGATTATACATCACAAGCACATGATGCACCTGAGAGCTGCTGAATAATGTTCGCTCTGGTTCTTGCATACGTTTTCGTCTGCTCGATGAGAAGCCAGCAACACAGGGAATGTTTTAAAAAGATTTCCTTAAGTGGATCCCAGATATCCTTGGCTTTATTCGTTGAATAGGCGCACATTGTCAGGCTTCGTGTTGACAGTAGTTATGGTTTAGCAGTTACTCAGGTGTAACGAACTGAGACTGTGATGCAATGGACTTCAAGCACGAGCTTTCAAAGTACGTCGGTAAGGCATGAGAGTCGTCCTGAACCATCTCTGCGATCTTCAATGAAAAAACCTGTATTGCGAAAGCGATACCATCCGAAAAGGTGAATTAGTGGTATAATTTAGTCGAAACGCCGTTGCTGTACAGAGTGAACAACGCCGGAGACAGGGAGTTGTGGGAAAAGCCCTTGCTCAGTTTCCTTTTTGTGTTAGCTGTGTCATCCATATGGGCGATAAACCTCCGCTTGCCCAGCATCTCGGTGACGATTCGAACGGATTATACCCGTTCAGTGAACTGAACTGTTTTTCCGGCGTCACTGCGATATTTAATTACGTAGAAGCTGCTGGAGGCACACGCTCTAAGTGACGGCGAAGCCTTTCAATCCGCGTGATAGCCGACCACTTGTTTTGAAAACCAGTTGCCGCCCCCTCTTCTAATTTAAAAATTCGACCAAAATTGAAGTGCTTCATTGTTTTCTGTCGTATAACTTTCAAACTGGTAAACACGTCACAGAAAAATCGACCGAGGCCACAGAGCAGAAGCGGATTCTGAAAATTCCGGATACGCTTCTTGCAGTACCCATATCCGGACATCGTACGGTAACTGGCTCATACAGCACAACGCGTACAAACACACCTTCGAGTAAACGAGCGCAGCCAACGCGATCCGAACTCGCATTCCGGTACGCATAACTTCGTAGAAGTAGCGGTGGTGTGTCAGCGCGAACGAAAACGAGCACAGGCTCAAGCCGAGCGCGTACAGGCAGGCGGTGGATGTCGAGATGCCGGAATCGAAACGGAAGAAACGAATCAGCCTGCCCATCAACAACAGCTGCAACACCTTCACCGACTCCTGTTCATAATAGAAGACGCTGAGCGACGCACGAACGAATCGTGTGGCTGGCGCTTCGCACTCTGTCGCTTACCTCGTATAGCAATACCAAGCCGAGCAGACAGTACCGACGCCCGAACACGCGCCTTACGGCGTTGTACAGCAGCGGATTTCGACGTTCACTGGCACCCTGCGCCAATTCGTCGTTCCATCTCCTAAATACATATCGTAAATCAAAAGTCTAATATACCTATGCTGAACGGTAAGGTAGCTATCCTGGCCATAAAATGTTTATTCAACAACAAAAATACATTATGAAACAATATCACGCGTCAATGTGCGCTGATGGGTTACATCTTCTTTTGGGTATAGTTAATGTTGGCGACATTCGGGCGGAATATCAAATTTGTTCAATTCATGTAACATCATGTCAGACTTGCATCGCATTACAAGTGAATAAAAATTTACCGTTCATGTTATTTCTTTACCAGTAACACGCAAGCAATAAATGGTATACCCATTTAAGCGCCGATCCTTCAGGCAGCATTGGTATATCCGCTAAAGTCATGAAATATGGCCAACGCCAACATAGTGGCATGATCTTAGGCAATGATACCCTAGTCAATTCACGTCAAACTGTCAACTACGTAGGTGTCAGTTCGCCGTCTGACTTCTCCCGACATGCACACGTACCATCACTTGCGACGAGCTGCTGTAGGGCTTCGTTTTACGTAATGCGTCTTAGAAACCTCCATGCACCACACGATGCCATTAGAAAATTTGTATGCATGCACGTCTTTGGCTACCTCTCGATACATGTGCATCAGCAGTCACCTTAATGAGGTTCGCTGATCTGCGACTTTACGGCGCTAAGGCGATCGCTTAGACACGTCTTTAGAATATCTGGCTTTTCGCACAACGACCTGCTGAGGCACGTCACTGATTTATAGGTCCTTCGCAGCACTTACATGGATAAAAGCATTTTGAAGATTAGCACTCATCCACTGCCTGACAGACTCGCGGACTGTCTCTCGCAAACTTCATGAACTAAACCTAGGTATATCGATGTTCCTGCCAGAGACGTTTTATAATCGATGCCTCGTCGCGAATTCCACGCAGCCCCAATGAAGTTAAGCAACGATACATGAATTCACTCAATGTGAGACTTTTTGTTTGTCTCCATTAACTTTGCTTCACGATTCGGCAATGGCCTCATCGACGGTTCGTTTGCTCACTGATTCTTTGTGTAAGCTCTAAGCGTGCACGCGCAATTCTGTTCTGTCATACGCACGCTGATTTAATCTTGTTCGCTGAAAAATTGAATTCTTCGGCAATCCTATTCTATCGGTATACTTTCATCCATTATTTCGTTCATTCACGACCAGCTGCCTTGGAATGCATTAATGTCGACCTCGCCAAAGGGTCCCCATGAACCCAGAACAGACGAGTCAACAACAGTAATATCCTAGGATTGACACGTCCCTCCGTGCATCTGAGGCAAATCCGCTGTCTAACAGAAAAGACATTCCTCACCGGCACAGAAAAAACTGAGCAATAATACCCTATTTTTGGCAGCCATTTCGGAACGCCGTGAATATATTTTGATTTTTCGTGTATTTGCCAACGGATAGTGACATTTTATTCGTGTTCGAACAGGTCCAACGGTCCAACTCAGTTACGCAGTAGGGCGTCCTGTGCGCTACGCCATGCATGAATACCATTAAGCCCTTGTCCACTTAAATGGCCCATAGGCGAGTAAGGGGCGGTGATTATTGCAGTATAGCCCGGTGTGACGACTACCAACCGTTTTACATTACCTCAATATCGCTGTAAAGTAACTTCACAGTTTTCGCCGTGTAAGTCTGGTATTAGTAGTTGAAAGATAATACGCTACTGATTTTTGAGAAACAGCAGCTCACTAGCTTTGAAAACGTTTACCGCAGTAGCCCTGTCGAGGCAGCAGAAAACGTTGTAGAAAAATAGCTCGATGAACAGCCACTGTAAACTATCACATCCTATACCATATACGACTCCTGACAGGTCTCTGCTTCGCACAAAGTAAGTACCTTAAAAGAAGCGTGGTGGTCCGGATTTTGTCAAAGGTGAGTGTTGCCTCCTCACCAGTACCTATGTCTTGAAAGATGGATCAGATTTTCGGTTAAGTATGAAGAAAGTCGCAGTTAAGGTTGCGCTGCCGGTTGTCCGTATATGATCTCGTATACATGTCCGTATATGATCTCGTCATATTCGATTTTCTGATGCTAATTTCTAACGAACATTTGACAGGTTCACTTTCACCCGCGCTGATACCGTAATGAAGAAAAGCCTTACCAAAACCAGGGACTGTATACATTCGAAAAAGGCAACTCCACGCGTTCAACACACTGGTGAAGTGCAACTGAGCGCAACTTAGAGAGATCTGGATGTCGCGGTGTGGCATTTGCGGGGGACGACAGATATGAGGTGTAACTGACTACCACTTGGTAGAGTACCCCAATGTTAAAACTTAATCGGTCTCAGTTGATCAAGAAAGAGCTGAACGATAATGCGAAGCTGTTTATCTTTCATGTTCCCTTCGCACTGACTTTCGCATATGGGAAGTATCAGATACTGATCGAAAGAGTGCGATACAGTATGCAAGCGGCAGAAATAAAGTTTCTTCGAAAGACCGCTAGTCAGAAGAGACAAGCTTTGGAGCACTGCGTTTTGAGACTCCGTCGTTTGTGATCCTCTCTTTCTCGAGATTGAGATAATCGAAACGACAGCATCGCACGACAAATCCCTTTCGATAATCTACATGACACACGGCGAAGGTACAAATTTAGAGCTAGATGGATCGCGCATCTATAACACCTGTCGTTAACTCGTCTTAGAACTGGGTCTGTTGAGGTTGCGCAAATGGCGGAGAATTAGGTAAATGAAAATATCTGCATAAACTGCTATTCCCGAAACTGGTAACAAACAAAAAGCCATGAAAATGAACTGTGATTATGTTCCCTTCAAAAGTGAGTGTCACCACTGCAAGGATGGAATCCCCCATGAATTCGCACTGTGGAGCCTTTTTATTATTATCCGGGCCATTTCGAGACCATTACTAAAGAAATCGAAACCGGGCACACATCCTGTGCTGATTATTACACTGGATAATCAGCTATCATATGAGTTGACGCAAAATGCGACCACAAAGGGTGCTCGCATTGGACAACAAGGCCGTACAGGCATAACCGACAAAACATCACACTGTTCGGTGTTATGCGCAAGTCACGTAGTTACTACCCATTTATTGGCTGGTTGTGCCTACGCAACGCAGGGTTAATTCTTTGCTTCGGGAAAGGCAAAGACTGTCCATCAAGCGGATATGAACCCGGCACTGCCGAAATTCAATGCCAAACTCTTAGCCATTGTGTCGCCACGCCCCGTCAAAAAAGTGCCGAACGTCTTAGTGACTGCTGTCTTGGAGGTGCTGAAGGTTCATTCAAGGTCGACAGTTCTAAATCGATCAGGAATGTACCGATATTTTGACAAAGGTCAGACATACTCGGATTAAATAGTCGATTGTTTTCTTACCATAAGCTTCGCTTATATGCTCGGGCTCAAAAGACGACTGGCTTCCGCGGAATTCTCATATAATGTCAATTTTTGATACTCCACTACTATGACCAACTTTTATGTACTAGGTTCCTGATTTATTTAATCTTACTGGCACCTTTAATCGTCATGTTTTAGAAACAAGCCATAGTTGGTGACCGTTTCTCGTCAAATTTGTGATCGCGCTATTCTGATAGCAGACGCGACTGCAATAAAATGCCTAATGCAAATAATTTAGTACTCCGTATCTGGATAAAACCAAGGAACATGGAATACATGGAAGCTTCATTCAGCAGAGACAGAAAGAGAAAGAGGCGAGCCATCTACAAGGCAATTATTTGGGAAAACGTGAGTCCATCATACCAGGCAGCGAATTAAGAAACCGATCGAAAACGACCACCTCAAATGGAGGTAAGCGGCACGTTGCGAAATAGAATACTCATGAAACTAAAGAGAACTCTTTCGAGAACGCTAGTAAAACATGTATCTCTGTACGGCGTGGAGCATTTCATCATGCTGGAAACACGAGCCACAGCTAAGCTCCATAGAAATATGAATGCTAAGCTAGATGCCTGGTGTCAGGTAGAACGACCATATTCGAAATACCTCCATAAATGGCATATAAAATGCAATCGCAATAACATAAGACATCATTAAAAGCATGCTACGTTGCTTGGAGCCTGACGAGTATTTATAAAGAAATAAACATTACCAGGGAAGAGAAAAAAGTGGTGTGATCTTGCAACGACGACATGAAACTGCGAGCGACCACAAATCTTTGAAGGAACGAAAAATATGGAAGCGATTCGATCGAACAGTAAACCTTTTTGAAGCGAATACATTAGGACCAAGGAACAATACAGTCCAGTCAGTAACGGTCATGATTATTACTGCTTGGCTGACGTTCCCATTCGAGACTCATGAGAGGCTGTCATGTCTACGATACTGGTTGCAGATAATACGCAGCGGCGTACTATAGCTTAGCCTATGGTATACTCTGGTCATCTTCGCTATCCACAACGTCGAAATCAAGGTTGACTTTGTGCTTATTTCTC